CCCCCCCCAAGGCCACCTCCTCGTCCCTCCAACCACCTCCTGCAGATCAGGCCAGGAGCCGTGAACCCCGCTCTGGCCACTCCGTGCTCCCAAGCCACCCAGCGACCCCCTCCGTGCAGGACAGGGCTCAAGCTCTTGCCCTCACGTTCAAGCCCCCCCATCTGACGCCCCGGCCCACCAGCCTCAGCTGTCCCTAGCCACTGTGCAGGGGGACACGGGTTGTGAACTGCCCAGGGCCGGAGGAGCTGCGGGCACAGCAGTCCCTACCCCGAGGCCCTCCGTGGACTCAGACCGCGTGACGCCTCTGCTGGTCACCCACACCACCCCTGGAGGCTTCCTCCCACGGCCGTGCTGGCCCCTACAGGCTGCGTAAATGCCACCTTGTCCACGGAGCCCACTCGGTCCTCCCACCCTCCCCGGGGATGCCCTCTGCCCCCTCGCCGCGGCTTGCAGTGCCCTGGGGCACGTGACCTGGCCGCCTCTCCTCCCCGGGGTCCCGGACGGCATGCCGGTGTGTGGGCGTGAGGCCTGTGCACGCCCGTGGCTGCTGCTGCGTCCCACGCACGCGACCCTCTCCAGGCAGAAGGGAAGCGTTGTGGTGTGTCCGTGTGAGTCGCTGCGACTTTGGGTGTGGGTCGGGGCCACACGCACAGTTCATGTTATTTCCTGCGAGTGAGTCACGCTGGCCCCCAGGGCCTGTCTGGGTCCGAGGGCGCATGTGCCCGCGTCATCTTGGCTTGGCCACCAGGGGGTGCTGGGCCACCCAGGCAGGGTGGCTCCCGGGTCCTCAGGGTCCGTGGGGTGTGGCTGGTGGCATCCCGGTGGTACCAGGCAGAGGGGGCTCCACCTCCCGGGCGCTGACTGCCGCCCCTGCCCCAAGCCCCACCCTCAGCCCTGACAAAGCCCCGTGTGTGCCCGTGGAGACGCCCGTGGGGACAGCCAGCCTGCAGCCCAGGGTCTGGCTGGGGTTCCTTCCTCCTGCCAGGAGTGGGGGGCGGGGAGCCGGGAGTCCACTCCCTGCACATCCTTTTCCGGTGCCGGAGCCGGCGGGAGCCAGACTTCTCGGGTCCAGGCCCTCCTCACACTTCCTTATCTGGCTTCGAGTGGAGTCCGTCTCCTCTCCGGGCCTCAGTTTCATCTGCAGCATGGGGGTGCCCCGTGCCCTGGCTCGGAGCCATCGCTGAGCGAGGCATCGTGGGCAAAAGGCTCGGGAAAGGGTCTGTCCCGCCCGGTGACTGTGGTCGCTGCGTCTGGACCGTAGGTCTGCGGTGATCGTAGGCTCCTGCGGGGTCACCAGGACGAGACCACCTTGTGGGGACTGGGGGTGGACCCTTCGGAGGCCTGGAGGGCTGGAGCAGCGCCAGGGTCCCCTGCGTCCTGGCGGCTGCCCTCGCCTAGGTCCGGAAGTCCCCACTGCTGTCTGTCCTCTGCCTGCAGTACGTGCACGAGGGAGGCGTGGAGGACCTGGTGAGGCCCCTGCTGGCCATCCTGGACAGGCCAGAGAAGCTGCTGCTGTTGCGAGATGTCAGGTGGGGAGGGTGGGGCACCCAGGCCGCCCCCAGCTGCCAGGGTGGAGGGTCGTCCTGCGCCCCCGGGACTGACCCGCCACGATCTCCCGTCCTCCCCCAGGAGCGTGGTGGCCCCCACGGACCTGGGCCGCTTTGACAGCATGGTGATGCCCGTGGAGCTGGAGGCCTTCGAGGCCCTCAAGAGCAGGACAGGTGGACAGCGCGGCCGGACGCCCAGCCCGAGCCCCGGGGGGAGAGGGGTGGAGGGCGGCCCCGGAGGCGGAGGGACCTGGCCACCGACCTGTCCACTCTCGACCAGTGCGGCCTCCTGTTCTGCGCCCAGCCCGGCAGGACACGCCACCCAAGCGTCACCTGGTCACCCCTGTGCCTGGTCAGTCAAGTCCCGGAGCCCAGGGAGGACTCCATGAGGGGGTGGGGAGGGAGGGAGGGCGGCCCTGCTATCCCTGTCCCAGGAGGGGCGGGGCTGGCCTCAGGGCCACAATGTGGCTCCCTTGGGGACAGCCCTCGTGCACCAGAGCCATTTGATCCCATCCGCTGGCCACCTACAGACTATGGTTTCCTTAATTGTCGGTTTGAATCCACTTGCTTAAAAAGGCCCAGGGCCATTCTATGCCGTAAACTCTGAGAAATCGCCAACATGCCACGCTGGTCCTAGTTTTTCTTAGAAACGTGAAAATAGAAGCGTAACTATTGTAGTAGAGTATGAAAATGCGGCCAGGCACTGCGGCTCGCGCCTGTCACCCCAGCATTTTAAGAGGCCAGGGTGAGGCCGGGCTGGGTGGCTCAGCCCGTAATCCCGCGCTTTGGGAGGCCGAGGTGAGTGGATTGCCTGAGCCCGCGGGTTCGAGAC